CTTTCATGTTGCTGGTGATCTGTTTCATGTTGCTGCTGATCTGTTTCCTGTTGCTGGTGATCTTTCATGTTGCTGGTGATCTGTTTCATGTTGCTGGTGATCTGTTTCATGGTGCTGCTGATCTGTTTCATGCTGCTGATGATCTCTTTCATGGTGCTGCTGATTTCTTTCATGTTGCTGCTGATCTGTTTCATGCTGCTGCTGATCTCTTTCATGTTGCTGCTGATCTCTTTCATGCTGCTGTGTTCATTTGTGCTCATCTGCTCACACAGACTCATGCTCATGTTCGTGCTGCTGTTCAGCATATTGTTTTATTGTTTTTATAGTTTTTATACTATCAGTGCTTAGTGTATTTTTAGTTGATGTTTTTCTTAGTTCATATCTTAGATGTTATTACTGTTTTTCTTTTACATTTTATTGTTGGATGTAACTGGGACCCTGTGTACATAGTTTCGTTCCACCACATGTACCACATGAGGTGGAACGACAAATACAGAAACTCTGACTCTGATTAAAATACAAAAATCACAGCTAGTCAAACGTTACTTTAGCTTTCAGCTAAGCCTTTTGCTACTTTTGGCTTATAGCCTCTGATCTGCTACTTTTATCTTTAAACTAGGCTTTTGATATTTTTAGCATATAACTATTTTTTTTTGCTTCTTTTAGCTTTTGAATTTTAGCTGGCATTAAGTTGTTTTTGCCTTTTAGCTTGCTGTTTGCTACTTTTATCTTTACCTACTGGTCTGCTACTTGTAGCCTTTAGCTAGCCGTTTGCTACTTTTGCCTTTAGCTATTAATTTGCCACTTTTGGCTTCTATATTTTTAGCTTTTAACTAGTTTTTGCTAGCTTTAATGGTTTGCTACTTGTAGCCTTTAGTTATCATTTTGCTACTTTTACTTTTAGCTACTGGTCTGCCACTCATAGCTTTAGCTAGCCTTTTGCTATTTTTAGCTACTGGTTTACTATGTTTATCTTTTAGCAAGCTTTTTGATTTTTTTAGCTTTTAACTAGTTTTTGTTTCTCATATATTTTAGCTGGCATTTCGTTTTTAGCTTTTAAGCATTGTTTTGCTACTTTAAGGTTTTAGCTGCATTTTTGGTCCTTAGAACTTTTAGCTAGTAAATTGTTACTTTTAGCTTTTTTTATTTTTTATCTTTTACCTTTGTTTATCTATTGTTTTCCTACTTCTATCTAACGTTTTGCAGCTTTTAGCTAGCATTTTGCTTGTTTTAGTGTAGTGTGCAGCTCAGCCTGTACAGCATGTAGGAGAACCCAACCTGCTCGGTCCAAACCCTCGACATCAATACTTGGACCCAACGGGCCACGGGGCCGGCCCGCTCAACGAGGCGTCTACGTATTCACGTCTACGGTCCAAACCAAACAACGTTCATGTCGACAGCTGGAGACTCATTGAAACAAAAATCACAGCTACTGAACTCGCACGGAAACTTCAACGTGTCCAACGAGAACAACGCCCGTATAAACGTGTAACTTTCCCACAGTCAACATGTGACAAACGTTTTCAGAGACTGTTCTCGTGTAAACGGGAGGGCCGAGCAGAAACAACGATCTAAAGAAGAGTGGGCCAAAATACCTCCACAACAATGAGTGAGGCTGAGGAGGTCAAACAGAAGAAGACTTCAAGCTGCCGCTGATAAAAGGAGGCTCAATCAGTCACTGAATCCACTCAGGCCTTATCAGTTTTTATCTCTGGTCCTTAGGTTGGACCCCCCCCCCCCCCCAAACCCTCCACCCCCCGTGGGCTCTCTGATCACCTCGGCTGTTCTTGAAAAGCGGACAAAACGAGAAAAATTGCTCATCTCCATCCCCTCGAACCCGCGACCTCCAGCTGAACCTGGAATCGACAGGTCACATGAGGAAACCCCCATCAGGCTGATGACGCCCCCCCCCCCCCCAAAACAATACAGGAGCACGCCACGGGCCAAGCTGACTGATGAGGAGGAGGATGAAGAGCCAGAGAGTGTGGGGCAGGACCCCCCCGGCTGCAGCGGTGACAGTTTTAAACAGGTTTGACACATTTTAACTGAATGTGCTGTAAATAAATCCATGTTTCGTTTTTAAAGAACTAAGTATAAAATGTAACGTTAATAAACAAACTGATTCCTATAAATAGTAAAATCTGTTGTTTTTACATTTTTACATCACATTATTGACAAAAAAAAATGTATTTCATGTCCCAACTAAACAATAAACAGTTAAATACGCCCATAAAACAGTTTTGTTAAAAAACTTAAAAATCTTAAGCTGTTGATTGTTTTAAAATTGTCATAAAATTCTAATTTTATCCTCGGAGACATTTAACGTTTTTCATGAATCTGTCAGTCGTTGAAATGCGAAATTAATCAATTTTTCATATTTTATTTTGAAACCATTTTTGTCACCTGCTACTAAAACAACTTTCTAATCTCATTTTTATTTTTAACGAGATTTTATTCTTTTTTTTTGCTGCTGTTTGAGAAAAATAAAATCTCCAATATATCCACTTAATGTCACTTTGTATTTCGTTATATGTTTAAAGACGTTCCACATTAAAGAAGAATGTCAAATTTATTTTTGTATTTACAAATATTTTTAAAAGTCCTAAAAATGTCTTTAAAATATGTTGGGAAATTCAAAGAATAAAACTTTTGTTAATAAAAACATGCAGAACTTCAACAGATCATCTTCTGCTTCTAAACCAGAGTAAAATGAAAACCTTTCGTTTAAACAAGTTTTTCTGTGAAACTGATTTTGACCTTTTCTATGAAAGAGGCCGAACTCTGGCCTGCGGCTGTAAATCCAAGCGTCTACCTGCGCCTTGCGTCAGTCCCAGGTGGTGCTTTCACCGCCGCAGCGTTCCGTTCTCTGGGTTCTGAACTGGAAAGCAGTCCGGCTCTTCTCTGACCCCCCTGAGCCGGTGACCGTCCCATGAACCGTGACCCCCACCTGACCGGCTCTTCCCCATCTCAAACACGGACCACCGCGTGGCCACGAGCTGCAGCCGACACGCAGATTTCTCCGTCCGGCCCGTTTGTCTGCAGAGAACTCCTGCCGGGCCTCACAGGAAGCCCACCTGAGCCCCGCTGGGCTGTGGACAAGCAGCAGGTAGACGTGGGAGAAACGCCTCACAGCTGCACAACAAACGAAGGGACCTGGTTCAGATTATTACATAATCTACATCTGCCACAGCTGCACTGACGCACGACAAACCTCCTAAATGTGTCTCAGCTGTGAGGACTCACCTTCCTCTCGTTAACACAAGTTCCAAAAAGCACGTCAAATGTAAACGAAAGCAGAACGCAGTGATTTTTAAAGCACATAAAGATGTATATCAAACGGCAACAAGTAAAGAAACATCTGGAGGAGCATTTTGTAACTAATTATGTTAATTGGCGACAGGTGAGGAGGAGGACTGAGCATAAAAAGAGCATTTTAGAAGTAAACACGGGCCGAGGTTCACCAGGCTGCGAAAAACTGCGACTTAAAACATCGGAACAGTTTCAGAATAATGTTCCTCGATTAAAACGGGAAGACTGAACGTCTCACACTGCTCATCAGAAGGTTTCAAAGATCTGGAACAATAAGAAGCTAAAGCTCTATCAGGCAAAGAAGGAGCCGTACGCGAACGTCATTCAGACCCGGTGCCGAACCAAAGCTCGTTTAAAATGGACTGAGGTAAAGAACTGTTCAGGGGTCAGATGGATCCAGATCTGAAGTTCTTTTTTTAAACCACGTCCGCAGTATTCTCCAGACTAAAGAGGAGGGGGGAAGGCCTGCCTCGCTGATGGTATGGGGGTGCATTAGTGCCCCTGACATGGGCAGCTCACACATTTGGAAAGGCCCCATCCATGCAGAAACATATCTACAGGTTTTAGAACATCTGCTCCCATCCAGGACTGAAAACAGCAAGAATCCATCAGACCAGAATGGGACGACGTTTTCTTCAAAACCTCCAACAACTGGTCTCCTCAGGTCCTCCAGAACCTCCAACAACTGGTCTCCTCAGGTCCTCCAGAACCTCCAACAACTGGTCTCCTCAGGTCCTCCAGAACCTCCAACAACTGGTCTCCTCAGGTCCTGGATGTTTACAGATGTTTCAGGAAGAGGGGATGCTTCACAGCGGGAAACGTGGACGTAAACAACTGTTTTACGATGTTCTGCTGCCATAAAGTTTAAAATGACCTAATTTTACCCCCAAAATGTACAATGTCTAAGTTTACTATGTTCCACTGAGAATAAAATCTGGTTTGATAAGATTTGAAAATCACTGAATTCTGTTAATTTTACACAACCACGTCAGAACTGGTTGTAGAAACGCAGCACGGTGAAGCTTTAATGGCACATTTTAACATTTGAACTAATAAAATTTTTTGTAAATATTCACACAAGCAAGTTTTTCTTGCTTCTTGTGAAATGTTCCAGTATTTTTAAATCTTTCTCACTGAATGTGTTTTAATCCGACGACCTGCAGCTTCTACAAAACACGTGTTTTAATATCCTGATGCATGCTCAGTGATCCAGATGTGTTTTAGTGATGCATGCTCAGTGATCCAGATGTGTTTTAGTGATGCATGCTCAGTAATCCAGATGTGTTTTAGTGATGCATGCTCAGTAATCCAGATGTGTTTTAGTGTGTTTAGCGGATGTTGTTGTTGACAGAACGTCCTGCAGAGACTCCCTGACCTTCAGGAGAACTGAATGTTACAGAGAAGCTCCTCGCACGAGTGTGAGGTGAAATGAACAAACACAACCCCCCCTGACTGGTTCCACCTACACTGAGAGCTCCGGCGCTCCTGCCAGTCACACTCGATCAGCTCCGGGAAATACGCTGCCACATCCCGGTCCTGGTCCCGGTCCTGGTCCTGCAGCGCGCACGCAGGGCTGGAGGTCGAGTAGAAGTCTAGGATCTCTCCTGGACCGAACACCTGAAAGTCCATGAAGTCAAACATGACCTGCAGCTCCGTGTGCACGCGCGCTCTGCATGGAAAGACAAGTAAAAATGGTCAAATCTGCCTCTGGTCCTTCTGCTCCGCGCGGTTTGGAGGGTTTAACGACAGCGCGTGCAGATCTGAGGGGCGTGTGAGTGCGCGCGCGCGCAGACCTTTAATTTCCCATAAAGTGTTTGGTGGCGCGCGGCCAGAGGTCCTGCAGATCCTGAGCAGCGCGGGTTTCAGCGCGTGCAGGTCCGGGTCTCGTGCAGAACAAAGTTTGCTGCAGGACTTCTTCTGGATTTCATCTCGTCCTTCGTGACAAATGTCTCCGCGCGGCCTGGCAGCAGTTATGTCATCGCGAGCGATAGTGTTACCTAATGTATGCGCGTGAACTCTCCGTGAACCTCCTCCGCCGCTGCCCTTCACATGACCCAGCAGCAGCGCCAGAGCCGCCTCATACAGGGGGGAGGGGGACACCCCCGGCGACTACACTACCCACAATGCACCGGGCGGGTGCTTTACTTTCCCTAGTAAACATTTCAGTAACCCAGAGCCCTTTACCTGAGTAAACCTACATAGAAGCAGGTGCGTGGAAGAACAAACAGAGGGGAGAGAGGAGTTAGTAAAAGCTGATGTAGAGTCCACCTGCAGCAGGTAAGACTTTATTTAAACGCATTATTGAAGGAATGCATATCGCCCGCCCCCTCCCATCCCACAGCTGTAAACTAAAATGAGAAATGATTCAAATAAAACTTTATGAGCAGAATCTGTTCTCTCAGCTACTACCACCAAAACTTTACGGTTCTTCTTTCAGCTGTTCCCTTTTCAGGTTAACCCGGCAAGTCCTCCATCTCACTCTGTCCTCACTCTGTCCTCACTCTGTCCTCTGCATCCTCAGTCCTCTGCATCCTTTGTCCTCAATCGGTCCTCTGCATCCTCTGTCCTCTGCATCCTCTGTCCTCTGCATCCTCTGTCCTCTGCATCCTCTGTCCTCTGCATCCTCTGTCCTCTGCATCCTCTGTCCTCTGCATCCT